ATCTTCTTGATCATCGTCTTTTTCACCAGTAGAAACAGCCGGTTGTTGATCACGTGACTCCTGTGATGTGAAAAAAGTGTTTCCATTGCAGTTTTGCGAAAAACACCAATTTCTATACGGCCGAAAAACCATCTCATCCTAGCGTAAAAACATTTTGTCGAAAAAAGTAGTTTTTTTAATTGACGTGTTTCCATTGAGCAAATTTGTTTTTGAAATTCCAATTTGCGCATTTTTGTGGTCAATGGAAACACAGCTACTGATAAAGACAAAATATTCTAAATAAACATCCGTTTCTTRTCTACAGTCTGTCTTGTTAGTTATTGTAGAAATTCTTCAATCACATGCAGATATTCCCCTTTGACATCACTTCCTGTTTGTTCACAATGAATATCTCAACAACTATTCATCTCAGTAGAGTGTAATTTTTTTCTGTAATATTTTACCAACATTATCTTACCAAAAATGCTTTCATATTTATTACAAAAATTTGATGTCACAGGCCCTTTAATGACTTTTATTCAACCTAATTCAAGATGGCTGCCTTATAAAAAAAGATTTTGGCCTAAACCAAAAAGAGGCAAAACTCAAGTTTTTTACAAACGTTGAGTTAAAGTTTGGTGAGAGTCATCCTCAACACATACTCCGGGTGTTCATTATTCACAATGTTTGAACCAAAACTTTCTCAGCAAATAATCCTTTACTTTAAAGCTCTGGAATTAAAGGTGCAATATGTTTTTTTTTTTCATTCTTTAATTTGACAGCATGAAACAGTGAGCAACGGATGAAAAACTCAACAGTAACAAATTATTTCAGCTTTTGACATCAGTTTTAACAGCCTGCTTTAGGATTTTCAGCCTGTACTTTACACCTCTTTAGCAATTTTTAATTTGGTGTTAAAACATTTAAATCAGAGAATCTGATTCACTAACAGGTGACTGAATCATTAAAGGGACGACAGGTTTAATTTCAGCTGCTGTTTAAAGTCAACAGATTTTATTTAAAAATGTTAAATTAAATTATTATTTGTGGAGAGTTTGTGTCGACATCTGGACGATGCTTTGAAGAAATGCTTTACAGAATAATCTCGTATTTTATGTGCTTTTTAACCACATGGACAAACAAAGATTATCTCACTCTCAGATAAGATRAGGTTTTATAACAATCTGGTTTTCTCATCAACTTTCTGTTTCCAGGAGAGTCTGACCTCCCCATCAACTGACTTTTTTTGTCATTTAGAATTCAAGTCCTTCATATATAATCGATAATGCAATCCGCTTTGGTGATTAATCTGTTGGGTGTTTTTTTTTTCTGACTAAGAAAATGTCACCTTGATTTTCCTCTTCTTCACCTGTAAGTTTTGTCTAATTCAGCCTGTTTTTATTCTTCCTGTTTTGTGTTGGAGTTTCTGAATAATTAATTCATCTTTTCATGCTGCTGAAGCCTCGGGTTTAAAGCAGCACCAGGACCAGGACTACAGTATTTCATTTCCACTACTAATCCTTATTGTGTCTCTGAGCACAGCAGACGTGTGCTGAAACTCCACTGYGATGTTGTGTCACGGTACAAGAAAGTGAGTTTAAAAAGCCACTAATCTCTTTTATCCTTTGCCATAGATCACTGGTCCTTTTGTAAGGTGGGTGGGTAAAAAGCATAGCTTTATTCCTTTAATTAAAGGGAGAGCATTATTCACTCCTAATCACAGAGAAGCTTATAATTACAAATGAACTGTAATGTTATGTTCACCTCCTCCTCTTCTTCTGTGTAACGTTTGTATCCATGTTTGATCTTCTTTCTATTAGTGGACTGAGTATTTTTACTTTAGTGGCAGCTGAATAAACTAAACTTAAAAAAGGCAGTATAGAACAACAAGTGTGTGAAACAAATATAAAGACATAAACTAAGACACTAGAGGTGGTCGACCATCAAAACCATCAAACCATAAATGTCCAGAAATGAAGTTATTTGTAATAATGTGGAATGGCACAGGGAAAAAGTATTGAAC